AGGGCGATGCCAGGCCCGGTGCTGCAGCCACCCTCCCTGGCAGGGGCGGGTGGTGGGGCCGCCGCCCGTCCTCCGGGGCTGAGGGCTTTCGGAGAGCGTCCGGTGCCGCCCTTGTGCTCCCTTCGCTGCCTCACAAAACTGCACACCAGTACTTATAGCCCTTCAGGCTCCAGGTATGGGGTGTTTTGGGATATGTACTAGCTGTCAAACAAATGAAAGCAGCTGTGTAAATTGCAGAACAGAGCTACTTACAATTATTTCTCTAGTGGTTTTCAGAGCTGTGATCTCTGACAGATGATCTGAGGAAGCAGGGAGTGCTCTTTGAAAAGAGCCAGTATGAGAAGAAACTGGGGAGAGGGGAGGGTGGGAGGTAGGGGACAAGATATGAGTGGGCACCTGAATGTAAGGTGGGAGACAGAGCCCGTTAGGGTGGCAGACAATTCACAGGAGAAGCACTTTCACCGAGGTCCCTGGAGCCAACTCAGATGGGAACGCTGAGGCACTATAAATTAAGTGGGAACTCATTGCTAATTCAGAGTGGAAACCTCTTCTTTAATGACCTTAATTCTAGACAAAGAAAACAATGATAAACCCAGTGGAAATCTTGTCCTGGATGATAAACTTCTGCCCTCTGAAACAGATGCCTGTTCTGCTGCTCTCTCTCTTTCTCTATTAACTGTTCTTTCCTTCACCTGTGATCACATTTTTGAGTCATGTTTTTCTGAGAACTGCAGAATATGAGTTGCCTGAGGAGAAAAAAGCACAAAGTCCAGTATGGACTTGCCAAGAGACCTTTTCTTTTGCCTCGTGACCATGGGGACGGGAGGGGAAGTTTGCTGGTTTCTGAAGCTGATGCAGATAGAAGCATTTTCTCAATGAGAGAGACTGCACTGCATTGATCTTTGCCATATTGCTTTGTGGTTTAGTATCCAAACTGGGATCTAGCTGTCATCTGTTCCACTTGTCAATACAATGAGCTCCTAGGTGATAAGCTATTCTCATGTTTTTGAACGATATCAAAGTCTGTGAAGATTCCCATGTATTTTCTTTGTGAACTGAGGTCCCACCTTAGCATGCCTGCCAAGGTATATTTGCCTGCTGCCCCTATCTTTCTGGTGGCATCCCCCATCCTTCCTTCTGACTGGGCTCGGGTTGTCCTGGGCTGCTCGGGTTGCTGTCATTCATGCCCTCCCTCGTTTCCTTCTCTGCAGAGGCACGGCTGGGTCTCTGACAAGCAGACCATGTGGGTGCACTCTGCCCTGTAATCCAATAGGACGTGTGCACTGTGCATGCTACAAGCTGGGCATTATGTATAGCGAAGGCCTCTCTTTTCGGTCCAGAAGGCTGATTAGGAGAGACACGGTGCAAAGAGAGTGCAGTGTTGTGAGAGAGCCCTGTCCTGCTTCATTTCATGTAGGGTGTTGCCTTTTTTCCCCCTGTTGTTGGTTTGAAGGATGCACAGAGCAGCCCTGAGCCACCACAGCTCCTTGTACAGTCACTGCCTGTGTTAGTACAAGCCATGTGAGTTGGGTCAGGCATCATGGTGTGCTGAGCTGACAGCACAGGAGTAAAAGGTTACAACATCTTCACATTTGTTTTCCCACCTCCTCACTCCCATCCTCTGCCAGCTTTGCTGTATTGATTCCAGCATCAGTGATTCAAGAAACTGTCGCAAGTGATGGTGAGTTATACAGTCAAGGTGGAAAAGAACTGTCTCCTAAGGAAAGATCTGAGAGAGAAAAAAATCAGAAAATGCTGTTTAAATTGAAGAATGGGTTAAGAGAGCTGCCAGGAGAGAGGATGGATGTCTCTCCTGCAGACTTGGAGAGACATTGTGGCTTCGGCATAGCTTATCAGATAGAAATTACAGAGAATGGAGTATACGAGGACATGGGGAAATAACGTGCACTGTCTATACACATCAGAGACAATTTGTAAAGCAGTTTGAGAACTTTGATATAGAAGATCGTTTATCAGTGTAAGTGTTCATCAATGATTGTCCAATAAAGTGGTGATGCTAGGGAGGTGCAGAAAAAGGTGGAGATCTTGTTTTCCCAGCTCGTGTTTGTTACATGTAGTAGTGTACATGTGGAGGGGTTATTCCCAATCAGTCCAGGTTGGGTTTATTACAATTTTAGGTCATGATTTGACATTTTACTACAGACTTGAAGATCTAGACCCTCATTTTGTATTTATATGGCATTTGTAATCTCCAGGTTGCGGGTTAGATTGCATTGATGTTGTATAGAATTAATTGTGCTAATAAACTGCAGTAGACATCGTGATTAATGCATTTCTTCTATTGTATGCAGCCATCTCTTAGAGTTTGTATGTATTTGCTATAATTAAAATTACCAGCAAGTGTAACTGAAAAAACATGTATCGGTTAGTGAATCTTTGCACTCTTTTTAGGTAGGACGTTTCCATTTTATAGAAGAGGAAACTGAGGTACGGGGGGATTAAACAATTTGTTCATGGTAAATAGCTGTTAGTCTGGAGATACAGAGCAAGGACATAACGTGAGTAGAGGGAACCAGTGTATTAGTGCATATTGTGTTTGGTTATAGTTCTTGTATGTTACTCATGTATAAGATAGCCAAGTAATTACATTCTGGGATAAAATTAGGATGCACTGGTACTCCATCCTTGTGATACCACAATTCGATCTTCCCTGCATAGCCAAAACCATGATTTTTGCTTCCCCCTGGAAGCACAGAACTGAATTTGCCATCAGGTGCGGTATCAGAGTGGGGGTGACAAATACATTTTGTTCCACTGTATGCACATTGCATCCCCAGATAACCCCGCAGTTGAAAATACAAAACAGTCTGGCTAAAATTAATACTGCTTCTTAAATCCTCTGTCTGATTTTGCCCGAAGCTTTTTGTTCAGTTTATCTTCACAAGGTCACTGAGACAGAAGAGTGCGTTCTCTGAGCGTGTTGGCCTGGAGACTTTCATGCAGATGCTTTCATTTGACATTTGGGACATTCTCCTTCTCCCTTCCATATCCTCCCTTTTACTCCCCTATTTCCTATCTCTCTCTACTCCCCGCTTTTGAGCTCAGGACCCCTCAGGTCAATACATGTGGGAGTAGAAGCTACCCTTTTTCATCACCTTAACATGTAATCACTAATCATAAGCTTTCTGGGTACCCAGGCTGTCACGGGCCAGAGACTGCTGGTCTGCCGCCAGAGCTGCCACATGTGCTGCCTGCAGCACTGCCCTCATCTTTGCTGTCATCCTGCCACGTGGAATATTTGTCTTGCAAAACCACGTGTTCTGTTTCTGCCTCTTTCAGTGGCTTGCAGAGTGGTCTTGGACTACTCACTTAAGATCAAAACAGTAAATTCACGTTTCTTTGATTATTTTCTTTTTAATAGTCAACAACAGGAAATTTCAGTTCAGATTGATAGTCATTGTGTGCTCTGAGAGACATCCCAAGTATTGTAAGGTGAGCTTCCATTAAGATACTGAAAATTGGAAGCTGCTTTGGAAGACTGCAGCCAAAGTTTAAGATCTGATAAAGGGCATAAGCATCTATCAATTTGGCACATGCTGCCTGGAATGAACATGGAATTAGAAGTCTTCTCTTTCTGTGGAGCAAAAACTGTGTGAGAGAAGAGCAGTGCAAAAAGGCTTTATGCCAAGTGAGAAGCTGGCCCTAAACTTCCGAGCTTCATTTTCTCCAGCTCTGCAATGGGAATAATTGCAAATACTTTACTTATAGATACATGTTAAAAATTAGTAAAATGTCCACTTGAATTGTTGTTGTTAATTATCAAATATAGTAAAACTGCTTCTATATATGAGAAATCTGTAGGCAGCGCGCTTTTCATTTGCAGCAAGCTGCTGCAAGAAGCAAACGGCTGTTTCCAAACTAGTTAATTAAATTAAGGCAAAAACTATAATATTAGCTCAGATACTTCAGGATTCTTTCTTTTTCCTTTCTGCATTAGGGAACACAGACTGAACAGTACGCCACATAAGTTACTATGTAATCTGCTGTGGAAAAAAGACATTTAATACCTCCTTAACAGGGATGTTAAGATGGATTAATTATTCTTTGTTCTGGTCTCTGAAGATAAAGGGTAATTACTATTAATTATGTGTAATTGAAAAATTGCTTCTCCACAAAGAATCCAGTAGCATTAGTGGGATTTTAACTTCTTGCTACCTATAGGGAGGTGTACAACATTCCATAATGTTATGGCAAAGAGTGCCATAAACTTCAGAATGGCCTGAGAGTCTTACTCACTTTCTAGCCCGCACTCGAGACCAGTATTTTTCAGAGGTAACAGATCTCACAGCGTGCTAGTGAGACAGGACTCAGCGTTTTGTTCTGTGCTGAATGGCACTTAAGCAGAAGATGCAATTTGTAAGGCTCGTTGTCATTGATGCTGCTGCAAGACTTTTCCTCGGTAAATTTCCAGAAACCTGTGCAACAACTCCAGGTAAACCAAAGGGAAAGTATTAGAAACAAACAAACAACAATAATGACAGCAACAACCAAACAAACCCTTGCATTTGCCTGTCTG